ATTTTTTCACAGATCTACGTGCCCCAGTGTCTAGTTTCAGAAACTGAAAACCGCAAGTCTGTAGCATTCAACGTTAAAAAGTTATAAGCGAAATATCGGAGTCCATTATATTTTGATACAGATAGTAGTATGTCTACATACAAAAAAATCCCATTTGTTAGTATACAACTTTATTTTCTGAAAAATGAGACAAATTATACATTCTTAGCACTTATAAGATAAGTCAAAAGTTACAAGCCTGAGTTTGGAAAAAATTCTTATCTGTTTTGATTATTAATTCCGAATAAACAATAAAGAAGAAAAGCACCAAAATATGTAAAATAAAACAAACATGTAACAGAAAATATACAACTTTCCAGCGTTATATTTCTTAAAAAACAACAGTTTTTTGAAGTTTAAGATTTTTCGGTTGTTCAACTCGAAAGCAAGAGTTCATGATTCTCAATTTGAACTATTTTAAGTACCGAAAATGAACGTAATATGTACATTACATATTATTAAAGGAAACAGGAAAAGTTACACAGAGCGTATACACAAATAGACATCTTTAAAAAATGAAGTAAAGTTCTTCGACAAATTGTTTAGACGAGCTTCAGCTCGGAAAATGTTTTTCATAAATGTTTTAGAGTGTACAAAAAAAGGATGTAATCAAATGACTACTGTCATCTCAAAAACACAGTCTCTCCCAAGAAACTATATAGAAAATAGAAAAATAAATTCCAGATTATCAATAATAAAATATATTCAAACAAAATATACATGCAGATCTATTATTTTCCATTTGATTGAAAGAGTTTATGAGTACAGAAAAACAAAAATAATAAAAAATAAAAGAAAAATACAGTAAAATATTTGTTTGCCTATTGATCAGAACTTGTTTTCTTGACTATAATATAAAATGCAACAAAAAAAAAACAAGACAAAAAAGAAAGATTCAGTCATTGAAGAGGAAAAACCAAAAAACACTTGAGTCACTGTTAAAGTGGCATCAAGAAATGTCTAGATTTTTCAGGAGAAAAAAACAGTAATAAAAATAGCACGGACGGAAAGATACAGATTAGTTTATTTGAATAGATATGTCGTATTCATGAAGCAAAATAGAAATAACGGAAAAAACAATCGAACCTTCTCGTTGTTGTTAATCTTCATCATGATAAGACCGTATATGTTTATTTTCACGTATTTTTTTCAGTGTTTGTGTTCGAGATTTAAATGCAGCTTTGTTTGCTAACTGCTGGAAGTAAAAAAGACAAGGTTGTCATTCTGTCGTTCAATACTTTTAAGATAAGGCAATCTAATGTACTCATTTCAAACGACAGTACTTATCCAATCAATTATACTTACTCTTTCAAATTTGTTTCCCTTCGAAGATTCAGTTTCTACTATTTCAGGATTATTCAATCCAAATACATTTCGTAAAAATATGTTCTCCTAAAAATGAGATGTAAAAGCATACAAAATTGTTTTTATTTTTCATTCATATCTGTCGCATATAAATTATTAGATTTTCAATGTTAGTGAATACTTTCACGAAAAATGACACATACTTTTAAATGTGTATTCATTCCAGTGCCCAATAAACGAGAAAAGATATTATAATGTAATCTTCTAATCCAAGTGTTAATTTCTAATGTTTCACGGCCGAATTTAACTTCAAATTGAGGCGATGTTTCTGTCTTGAAAATAAAAAAAATTTTTACATAATCAGTTATCAACTTTTTTTTCAAATTCACCTCAAATGAATTATAAATTTCACGAAATGTAGCTCGTTGTAAACGTTTTTCTTTTTTTCCTTTATATTTTACACTTTCACTGGCTTTACATTGTAACAATTTCAATAGATAATCATCTGGCTGTCCATATTCCTAAACAAATATAAAGTACGATGTTTAATGTACTACGACTCGAAAATCACATCCGAAACAATCTGTCTCAACAACGTCACACTGCCGTGATCTTATTCGATATCCGTGCTGCATTTGACACAGTGTGGATTGATGGACTAA